AATTTTTATTGGCCAGCTTGGCTTAATAATCAAACAGTTTCCAGGCTGGTTCTGTCTAGTGCTGTGTGGATCCATTCTGAGAAAGAGAACTCCCAGTCATTTTTTTTTTAATCTTCCCACAGACTTTTGTTGGGGATATTGCTTAGTCTAAGGTTAGGGTTTAATTAATTGCTGAAAAGGGAAGCAGACTACTTGGCTAGATTAAGTAAGGCCTGATTCATACTGGTCTGGGACATCAGCATCTTAGTTGGAAATTAGCGTATTGTATCGTTGTATCATGCAGAAAACCACAAAATATGTAGTGCAAGTGGCCTTTGAAACATAATGCCAAAACAATAAAGAAAGCAAGCAAGATATTGTGGCTGTCGAGCAAATAATCTTTGAACAAAACGCAACTTTGAGCTTGAAATAATGATAATCTTTTATAATCAGAAATGGCCTAAAATTCCTGATGGCTGACTAAATCCCAGGAATGGAAATCAGTTAAGCTATTATGGCTTGTACCTTTTGAGTGGGTGAAAGTGTTCCTGTGTTAAACCAAATTATTTTTCATCCATAGCAAATTGTTGACTTTCAGTTCTTTTGTCCCAGCCTGCATTTAATGTGTGTTAGTTACCAAAGATGATAAAAGCTGAAAAAGCAAGCAGTCTATAAATCCTCTTTAGATGCGATTGCTTTATGAATCACCAAGCAGGAACTCTCTGAACCTGGGTGGTTACTACTTTGTTGGACACTACTCTTGTTCGTAAAGCAGAGTTGCTCAAACTGTAGCCTAGGAGGAGATTGCATAAATTTGCTGTTGCTCAGGGAATGTCTGTTCAAAACACAAATTACAGTGTATCATCACCCACCCAGGTTTTTATTGGTGCCCCTGGAGCTTTCAGTGAAGCTGGGAGACAAACTGCATCTCAGGAATTTACTGTGGTTTTCTAAGTATTTATTATCATTTTGTTCTCTGTCTGAGGTAGGGAAAAGGAGTTTTAGCAAGCTCCGTGCGAAGGGAGCACCAGGTCAGGCAGGCAGGCAGGCGGCTGCTTTGGCCTCGCCTATCGTGGGTTTTAGCTTGCAGAATATCCTCTTACTTTAGCTAGTGATAGACATGCTTTAGGTACCTCTGTATGCATGTGCCCAATATTACAACGTGACCAGAGACCAGGCTGGTCACCAACTGTATTGCCTATGGTGTTGCAGCTATAGCCAGTGTTGAGAGCATGGAAGGAAAAGGATTTCAGCAAATTGCTGGTTGTTAGCACCGGGTGTAAAACTAGCATGCAGCAATGTGGAACGTCCTCCTGGTAAAGGGAGACTCTCCAAAACTGCAGCTGCTGCTCTCCATTGCCACAGGTGTTTTCTTCAGGTTCTTTCTTCCCTCTGAGCCCAGTGGATGTTAAACCCTTCTCAGTTGAGAACCGGATACTGACTTTGTCAAAGACCGTTCAATCAAATCATTGCAGTCTCAGCATCTCTGAGATTACTCTGCCATGTCTTTAGCTTTACCACAAAGGATTGGCTTGGAAAGATGTAGTCTAATCTATATTAATCTGTATTTCTATCTGAGACGGGTGGAAAAACTCTATATAGGAGAACTCCTTATATTTCAGTTGTAGGTTTTGGGGCTTAGCTGTTTGCAGTCTGTCTTGGGAACTGGGTGTATGGTTTGATTTAGTCACATTGCAGCCACGTTTATTTACAGCTTCAGATACCTGATTAAGAATACTCTGTTATTGGTTTAGATTTAGCAGAATATGGTCTGTCCGTGCCTGCTAGTATTGGTGAGTCAGTGATGCAGGATTGATCTGCATACCAGCGCTTGAGTGTCTTCTTTGCCCTCTGACGCCAGGGGGAGTTCAGCTTTCTTCAAGTTAGGTCACTATTACACACTTTATTTTACAGATCCAAGTACTAATTATTCTTTAGAGCTTTCTTTCCCTGCAGTTGTTATAGTTGCAGGGCTGAGAGTGTAATTCACTATTTCAGGACTTTTGCTGGTAGTGGTGGTGGAAAATGTAGAGTAAAGAAGGTTTGGAAGGTATTCTTCAAGGAAAAAATTCCTCAATCCAAGCAGTTTGGTGCTACAAAGGTGCAAGTACCTGAACATTGTCCATGCTATACGAATGAGTTACGGGTACCATTAGCCACAAAGGAGTGGATTTTCTGGAATAATTCTTAGGGAGAATGAATTTTTCAAAATCAATACCAAAACGTTTATATATAAAGGAATTGTGAGGAATTGGGACCAAATTCTCACTGACAGAGTTCCACAGAGAGAGAAATAAGCTGCATGTTTTCTGAAGCTTGGCTTGTTTTGATAACAATTCTGTGTAGTAACTAGAGTTAAACATTCAGAGGTGAAGGGGAAAGCAGTTAGCATAAAATATCGAGTTTTTTCATGGCCTAAACTGAGTTCCAGGGCTTACATCAGATGACCCATATATCTTTCATCAAAGCATTTTATTTCCTCTTTGGCTTTCCATTTAATATTAACTCTGTCTCCACTACAGGTTGTTTTTATTTTTACCAGTTGGCAGTATCTGTTTCTAACTATGTCCAAGCTAACTCACTCCCAACGGATGTGCAATGCCTGCTGTCTGCCAGGTTGCTTTATTATTATACCTATCCCATTCAAGTGGTTGGAAGATGCATGCTGCAGAATTTTTGAGTGCTTGATGCTAGTTTGAAAGGAATATGGCCAATGTTTTTATATTCATTATTTTCTTTTGTCTCACTGGAACTACAAATAAGGCTGACCAAAGAGTAGGAGTGTATCAATGCAAAAAAGGTGTTCCAAAACCCTGCTTATTTCTGAGATGCTTGTTGAATGGCTGGCAGTGTTTCTGCTTCTACCGTTGCCTTCCTTTATAGCACATCTCATGCCATTTAATTTCTCTGTTTGTGTTACACCATGTGAGTAGTCATACATGTGTTTTACTGTCTCTTGGATGCTCATTGTCTCAAATCCTAAACTAACTTTCTGTAATGATTAATTAGCTTTGTATTTGTGTGAGAATGAACTGTAAGTGCAAGAGGTGCTTGTCTGTGTACCTTTGTTTGAGGTAATGAACTGTATTGCTTTATAGCTGGTGAAATCTATTCCCACTGAGCCATTGAGTAGCCAAGTACTTCATACAATATAGGTACACAGGTACAAGATATGCACAGGTACATAGTACAACAGACGTGCCACTCGGGGACATGGTTTAGTGGTGGATTTGGCAGTGCTAGGTTAACGGTGGGATTTGGTGATCTTAAGGGTCTTTTCCAAGCTAAACAATTTTATGATTCTATGAGGGAAAACCATTTTTGTGAATTGGAGCTTGATCTTTTTTATGCTAATGCGACAGTGTTGATTATGTGAGCAGATATGTAAATCTCTCTAAAAATTGCCAAGAGAAAAATATTAGTGTGTATCAGAGGGAACATTAGAAAGTCTCTTGAATTAAAGCACGTAAGACCTCAATTTTGGGACTGTCAATTACAAAATGCACTTTTGCTGTCCAGTAATCTTCAAAGGAAGGTCACTGTTGTCATCTTGGTTTACTTATGCTCAAAGAGATGGGTTAAAATCTGTGCATGTTTCCCGTGCTTAATTTGTCACTTCATATGGTTTGTTCTCCCCTCTCCCTGTCCCCTAAGCCACTTGCTGGATTCATGGGTCATTTCCTGTTTGCAGAACTCCTATTGACATCAGTAGGAGTGTTGTGCAAACATTTGGGGCTTCAGTATGGCCTCTCCTCTCTTTATTTGCCCCCCCCCCCCCCCAGCCAGCTGAATAAGCACAATTATTCCTGGGATCCAGTGATATGGTCCATACTCATGCAGGCAAACGGAAGAGCTGGGATTCCCAGAAGGGAATCTGCCTGAAACGTGATGCCCTTCTGACATATCTGCTGTCATAAATCTTCTATTTCTAGATCTCAACCCAGTAATGTGGCATTTTTTTGTCTCTGCTGGTAGCAACTGCTTAGAGGGAGATATAGCTGCTTTGCAGTTTTCTGCAGGGCCAGTTCTGCGGAGATACTGGTTGAGCTAGAAAACCCAAACTGATTTCCTTCTTAGGGCCTGCCTTATCCTACCTTGTGTATTTTTCAGTAAATGGGAAGATAGCAAGGTGAACAAGAAAAACTAGCTATAAGGTATACATATACTCCATTAATCCTAATAATCCTGTCCTGCCTCTGGGCTGGCTGTAAGTTTGTTGTAAAGAGTTGGTCCTGTACAATGAGGTTTTGTACTGTCGTAGCCATTTGTGCATGAGGTATTGAGACGTCAGTCTCATTTGCCTGCTGTCAGCCTTGGAGGGAGATGTTATTTCCTAAATTAGTAGATGAATTCTACTGAACAGTCTAAATTTCCTATGCTGAGAGTGGTGGTGGGTGCTGGAATATGAATTCCCTTCCCGGAATTGGTCCCTGCACATGCTGTAATACCCCTTGCTGCTTCCACACGTGTGTCTGAAAAGGTATTTATGCTCTGGGCAGCCATGGTCTAGGTCTTATGGGACAAATCTTGTGTTTCTGGTTCACTGGAACACCCTACAGGCCTGACTCTTCTCCAAAGAAGGCAAGACTTTGCCCAAGTTGTTATCCTCTGCAGAATAGTGCCTAGACCTGTTGTGCCACCAGCTAGCTCTTCACACAACCATTGCTTCAGCAGAAAGGACGAACAAAGGCAGTGCTGTTACAGTGTTGTGACACAGGGGGACAACTGTCTCAAACACCTTGATGACTTTCTGAAGGATGACCAGGAAACTGTAGCAGCCCTGGGAGACAGACTAAGATCAGTGCCCTAACTGAGAGCTTTTAGATGCCAAAAGACAAACCTTTCCCTCAGATTGCTGCTGTGCTTTAGTGCCTACTTGATTACTGTGTCAAATGCATTATGTTACCAAATATAAGCTTTCCCTGATCAAACGTATGTTTTATCAGCCACATAAATGCCAGCATGACTCTCTCATTGCTACAACGTATTAAACACCTTGGAAATGTTTCCTTAAACTCTAGGTCAGTCTTATGAAATCCGTCTACTTGAGAATAGGAAATTGGGAGAGTTTCAAGATTTAAACACAAAATATGTAAAGGTAAGGAGAAATATAGATTTCTTTTCTTCCTGCTATTACATACAACCTGTAATGAAGAGCCTGACCTTGCTCACACTGAGACAATGGAAAATACTTTGCCATTGTTTTTAATGGGAGCAGGGCTGATAGAGTTGTTGAGTGCTAGTTTCACGGGATTATGCAGCTTGGCTTTACAGGGCTTCAGGGGAACCTTTATTCTGTTTGTGACCAGGGCCTCAGAGTTTCACTGTGAATACTGGGTTTGGGGGAATCCCAAAGTTCAGAGGCGAACATGGTCAAAACTGCTGAGAGGCAGACTTGTCTCCCTTGGTAACCTCAGAAACATGCCTGGGCTGTTACAAGTCAAACGGAGGACCCTGATGTTTACATGGTTCTGAGATGCAGATTTTGCATAGCTTCAGTTTATTTTGTTTATGGGCATAATTATGAACATACAGAACTTGATCATTTGGTTTGGGGGATTTTTTCTGTTGTTGTTTTCCCCCCTCTCAAAACAGTTCAAATTCAAAAGCTTCGGTCTGGATCTTGGTTCTGGACCCAACGTTCAAGCCTTCCTCTCCCCAATTCTTGGCTGTTCTGCCTCAGGATTTCTTTTGGGACTAGTTGCAAAATTTGGATTCCAGTCTGGATTTCAAATGTTGTCCAAGTTTAGGTAGTTTTCTGTTTGTCTTTGGCCTAGGTCAGGAAGCATGTGGATCGGGATTCCAGTTTTGCAGGTGTTCCCACCGTGGCTTGCTTGCTTCTTGGAGCGAGGGTTTGATTTGGGCATTTCTCAGGTTCATTTGCAAAAATTCCTTATTCATTTTATACAGAAGCCCATAGGAGGAGCATGGACTTGAGAAACTGGAACATAACGGGTCATTAACTCATGCAAGTGTAGCACTCTGAATATACAAAAGAATATGTTAGTTAGGAGTACTTTGGACTTGTCTGCCCTTGGGATTGCCCTTATTCCAGGCTTTTTGCTCCAGTTATTGACATGGCTGCACCATTGCAGACCAGAGATGAAAATTCTCCTGTTACAGAAGTTTTCCTATTCTACACTTTAACTGGGGCAAATCCAATGACTGGCTGTTAATGGCTGGAATGAAGTTTAATTCCCACTGACAAAGTGTCTGGGCACGTCAGCTCCACTGGTGCAGGGACAGGTGAGCTGGCTTTCACATGTGCTAATCAGAGTGGGATATACTGGGGTTGGGGCATGGTATAGACACATTAAATATTATCCCCTTGTGAGCTATTTTGGGTTTAGAGGCAGTATAGTGATGTCTATGTGGCATGGCACCTAAGATTAGGTGGACATTGCTATTACACTTCCAGACCAAATCCCAGAAAGCTGTACAGGGCTGCGCTATGCAGTGTAGACATGCCCTGTGAAGGGGAAAGGGTGTTGCTGTCTCACTCAGGGGTCCCTTAGGAATCTGAAAAACATGGTGATGGGTCTCTTAGGTGGACCCTCTACTCTCCTCATGACTAAGGATGAGAAACATAACAGATCAGCTTTTGCTTTCTACTCTGGAAAACCAGTCATCTCAAGAGAAGGGCCTCTGGATCACATTGTTCAGCTTGCTGTCTTTTCTCAACAGAGCATAATTCGTGTAGTTTTCCACGATCGACGCCTGCAGTACACCGAGCATCAGCAGCTTGAGGGCTGGAGGTGGAGTCGGCCTGGGGACCGCATCCTTGATATAGGTGAGACTATTTAATTATGGTTCCTGTGCAGCATTTGGAAGTGAGAGGCTGAATGACATACGGAGTATTTGTATATGTGTTTAGGTTTTTATATCCTATTCTCTTAGGAATCCTGTATGCCTTTGGGTGGGAAGGAGATCTAGCATTATAGGTCCCAGATAGGTGTATCATTGGTGGCTTGCCTTTTCACATGCGTCTTTTAGTTGTGTGGAAATGCTTTCTCTTCTTCAATTTAATATTTTTAAAATTTTAGGGGTTTTATTCTACAGATATTCCACTATCAGTTGGTATCTTGGATCCGAGGGCCAGTCCAACCCAGTTGAATACTGTTGAATTTCTGTGGGATCCATCAAAGAGAGCTTCAGCATTCATCCAGGTAAGAGAGAACTGATATTTCTGTGGTAAATACAGTGGTGAGATATCAGGTCCTTATAAAGACCTGGAGAGTTAAGGTAACCAGGAAACAAAGAAGAAAGATGCTAATGATAATATACAAACAGTTGTGTATAATTAATTTGTAGGCTGCTTGCTAAACCAACTTGGTAGCAACTTGCTAGCTTTGGAGTACTACTTACTACAGCTAGGATTTTAGGACTTTTTTTCTTTTTTAACGAATGATGTTGCTTTATATACATGAACTTTGTCTAGAGGAAATTGTCCATAACCTGTTAGTTTTGCTTGCTCTCTTCCTTTGTGAGTGTTTCTCATCCCAAATGCCAACTGTCTGATTTTAATCTGTGTGTGGGATTCACTTAAGTTAAAGGATGCTTTTCCTGATGCTCTGTTTCTTTCTGAGCTGCTTGTTCTTCTAATTGTTTTGTCCTGATGAGCAGAAATGAAAACATCAGAACTCTTCAGACTCTCTTAGCTTCTCAGAAGGAGCCAATACCTTATGTTCAGGCAGAATCTGAAATTCAGGTTTGCACAGGTTCCAACTGTCCCCAGAGATGAGCACAGCTTTTGTTTTGCCAGGTACATTGCATCAGCACAGAATTTACTCCACGGAAACATGGAGGAGAGAAAGGTGTGCCCTTCCGGGTGCAAATCGACACATTTAAACAAAATGAAAATGGTGAATACACAGAACACTTGCATTCTGCAAGCTGCCAGATCAAAGTGTTCAAGGTATGAGGTAGTTTTGTCTTTGTCGTCAACTAGGTTAAGACACAGGAGCATGCATAGTTTTTAAATTGTGTAGGATTGATGCAAATAGTGGAGTAAAAGAACAGACTTTTATCTGGGCATGCTTCAGATCTTAAAGAGGGCTCTTGCGCACAAAGTGATATAAACACAGAACTACACAGCCATTCTAGTTAAATTCAGATGACCCAAGTGCTGCACCCAGACTTATGCTAGTCCGTTATGCCTTGAACACTATACAAATACCGAGATGCTTAGGGTATCCTCTGTGTTTTGGTGTTTTGAGGCAGTGATGACATTATGGCATCTCCAGATTTTTTTGTTCAATCCTCCATGAACAGTGAGATTTTGGAGACCTTAAATACCCTTTTTTTTTTTGTTACAGCAGAGTTCCTCTCCATGCTGACTAGGGGAGAGAAAGATTCAGGGAGAAAGCATCTCTGAAGATCCTAATCTGGGCATGGCACATGTGTAGACACTTAACAAAAAACTTTTCATAGGCCTGTTTTCTCAAAGGATCTTCTGCTCCAGTTTTGCTCCTGTGAGCAGTGTCTTACATGTTCCTGGAGAGATGGTACAAATACCAGTTGAGGTGCATAACTCGTGGAGCTCATGGTCTGAAATGAGTAATACCAAATCTCAGGACTGTGGTCAGCTTATTTGGCCCAATAGACATTAATGGGGGATGTTACAGAAACAGTGGAGATGCTTCGTTATATTTTTTTTGTCTAGGAAATGCAGATCTGATCTTATTCTGTATTTAGAGTCCCCACAAATCTGAAGGACACTTTTGTGAATGTATTAAAGAAGAAATCTGTTGGTCTCTGTCTCCAAACTTGTAATACTTGGCATAAGGGAAAGCTTGTGCTTGTGCTTATAGCCTAAAGGAGCAGACAGAAAACAGAAGACTGACAGGGAAAAAATGGAGAAGAAGACCACCCAAGAGAAAGAGAAGTATCAGCCTTCCTATGAGACAACTATTCTCACAGAGGTAAAGCATTTTAGACATCATACTATTTCTGCATGTTGGGAGATAGATTTGAGAGGAAATGCAGTCTAACTGAGCCCTGGAGATTGTCTTGTGGAGACATGTATGCCTAGACCTGATTGAAATTGAGAGCAGAGTGAGGTTACAAAATGTCTCTCACTGTTGAAGTTTATAAAAGATGCCAAAGTTTCTTATGTTTTAGGGTGCAAACCAACCCTTACCAGCCCAGCTTTAAAAGGAATATTTTCTCTATCTTGTGCTGTGCTCCCAGGCACTTGTCATGGTGCTTAAATGCCAGTTGTATGAGGCATTTTCTTCAGGCTGTCTGGCAAAAGCTTATGGTGGAGATGGGGCACTTGAGTAGATGAATAGGGTGTCTGATTAAATTATTAGTTTGTTTTTCTGTGAATGTGCGTGTGAAGCTACTGTTATGTACAAGATCTCAGAAGATTCTGGCTTGTATTCTAGGCATATCTTGGATGTCTTATATTCTGATGGATTTGGGGTGGAGATGTGTGTGTTTTTACTCCTGCCTGCCATTACTAAGATTCTAAGATGTATATATAAGCTTACCCCAGGCTGCAGAATTACTAAGCAACAGGACTCAAGAGAGTGGTTTGAAAGTGCTGTTCCTTCAACCTGTGCAGATGTGTTGTTGTTTGATTTAGTTCTTCTGTTTTTTGAAGTGGCTTGCTGAACTTCTAAAAAACAGAGGTTTTCTTAATTTAAATAAACTTCCTGTTTGTGAGCTCTGGTTCTTCCCACTCAGTTTTCCTCACATTGCAAGGAGCAACCAACATGTTTTCTAATTCAACATGGTGGTTGTTAGCAAGGCTCTTGTGTACACAGACCTAATTCTACTGAGTTGGCAGATCCCAAACTCTCCCTGTGAGCTCTGATGCACTTTGACATATTGCATGAGGAAATGTGGGTTGCTAAAGAGTTAAATATTTGCTAGTGCTCATGAGATGATAAAATATTTGCTAGATGATAAAACTCCAAAGCTACATTTGTTGTTTTTTTTATCCTTGCAAACAAGGATACTACAGAGCATTTTCTTGAGCTCTTGATGGCGGGGTGTTCCACAGGGCTAAATTTCTCCTGCTGATTACAGTGGCTTAAATTCAGAACAGAGTCACCAATTCTAGCTGGGTTGCTCTGGTTTTATAGTACTGTAATGGAATATGGAATTTGACCTATATTTGTGAAGGCTTTTAGCAGTTTTATGTCTGTCTCTCTCAAATTTTCTCCATATAATACCCATTTTTAACTTGAGCTCTTCAGCTAATAGCCAGAGGTTTTAGCAGACTGGTTTGAATTCTGCTCTTTCACTGGTACTAACCTGAAGCACTGCCTCTGGAGCATATTTGTCACTCTTCCCTGGATTTAATTAGGGATGTATAATTGAGACCAGGGGTATTTCTGTATCATTGCTGCCTTCCGTCTGCACTGACTTACTGGCGTTGCCCTGACTTACAGCTGTGCACATTTTGGCCCAGTGTTATTTGGGGACAGGCTTTGTGAAATGAGGGAAATGTGGAATGCACAACTGGAATCAATCTGGCCCCTGACAGCCCGCTTGGAGAGCAGTGTAGAAAATCCATGGCCTGTCTCCTTCTCTCAGCAGGAGCGATGAGCTGAAGTTAGTGGCGTGGCAACAGCATGAATGTGGTGTTAGAGGAGAATCGAATCCTTTATTTCCATCCTTACGAAAGTATCCCCACTACTTTTCTTCCAACAGTGCTCTCCCTGGCCAGATGTGCCTTATCAAATGAACAATGCTCCATCTCCAAGTTACAACAGTTCTCCCAACAGCTTCAACCTTGGAGATGGGTATGTAACAAATAAATGCTTTTATATTTCTTGTTGATATCGTAGTGTTGCGTGGATGCTGTTTGTGTGCCCATGCATTTCATACCCTGGAAGAATAGGTCAAGGGCCACCCTTCCTAGGAAGGGGAAAATACTTACCACTAAGCATTTTAAGACCTTCCATCCAGGAATTCTCTGTAATGCACAGTACTGTTTTTATGTCCACTGCTTATGTGGTGGCTGGGAGGTGAGCTTCAGAGGGTCACCAGGACAATTCCTGCTATAAATTTCCTTTCTTATTCTTCTGTTCTTCAGAGAACACACGATGCCCTGTACCAGCATTTCCCACTGTTTTCTGACAATAGTGTTAAAGTCTTTCAGCCTTCCTTTCTGTCTTGAGGTAGTTTGGAGTGCTGGATTCCCAGTTGAATGGGAATAAAGGAACCCTGTCTGTGACAAAACAGCCTGAGTTTTGAGAAGGCATTCTAGAACACATTACTAAAAGGAGGCATATTTAATTCATTAATGTAGCAATCATAAAGAAACAGTTTTAGTGGTCCTGAAGCACCCAACATGATAGCTGATGACAGAAATAAACGGCAGGGTCCCTTGGTACTTCTGAGTCCTCCCTGTGACATACTTGTCCCTAGGAATTTGGCATGGGCCTTTCTTTTCCTCCTCTAGGACTTTGCAGCCTTGTTGCCTTCCTGCACAGTTTATTAATCAGTGTTGTATCATGAATTTTCAGTGAGCAACTTCAACCTATGCATAAAGACAAACACTGAAATGAGAAAAATTGGTGTTAGTAGAAGGATCTGTTAAGCATTTTCTTCCACTGCTAGATGATTAATTCTTCGGGATTTGATCAGTTGAAGTTCTGTCTATGTCTTAGGAGGGTTTAATAGAAACGTGGTTTTATGTAATATAGTTAAATTGCAATTTCCTATGTTTAAGATAACACCAGGGTTGAGTTATAAGGTCCTTTATTAATTTTTTGTGATGAAGCACTATTAGACAGTGGATTTAGCTAAGGGATTTCTGGCTTGTAGAAATTTTGAGTTCAGCCACTCTGTAGGTCACAACTTTCATGCTTAGATGGTGTCACATTAGTAAGCCACCAGTATGGAAAAGTTTGAATGAGGTCAGTAAACTGGGTAGGACCTCAACTGACCAACGAAAGGCATGAGCTGGGGTTTGGGGTTTTTTTCATTATTTTTTCTTTTTGTCCAGACTTTGGACACATTTTTAAAAATCTGATAGAGGAAAAAGCCAAGTTGCTGTGTAATTTGTGACGGTTGAGTTAAATGGAAGAGGGGGAAAAGGGTGGACACTGCTATGTGAAATTTAAAATAATGTGTTTTTTTTCTCTTCCAACTTTGCATAATTTTTTTTAGCAACAGTTCTCCAACCCACCAAGTGGAGCTCCTGCCTCCCAGCAATGATGTAAGTACTTGAGATCATGTTAATGTGGTGCTTTTCTTTTTTAGGACACTGGTGAACAGTTCATTTCAAGACCTTCTTATTCTTTTTGCAATGTAGCATCTCCTTCCTTCTGCTTCTATTCAAGATGCCCAGCAGTGGCTTCATCGTAATAGGTTCTCTCCATTCTGTAGACTCTTCTCAAGTTTTTCGGGTGAGTTTAAACAGTCAATCATTTTGTCTTTGTTCTCTTTTGTAAGGGCAGCTCAGGCTTCGCATCAAGAGCATCTGCTGCTGGCCACTGTTTGTGGGATCACTGGTCTGATCCAGTGTGGTTGTTCTTTTGTTCTTAGATTTGTTAGCATTTGCCACAACAGTTTGTAGAAATATAGAATAAGTAAAGATGGAAGAGAATAATTTGAGATGGAAGGGACTTTTTAAGTTCATTAAGTGCTACCCTGCTTGAAGTAAGTCCAGGGTCTTGTACAGTTGCATTTGAGTATCTCCCAGGTTGGAAATTTCACAATCTCTCCAAGCAACCTCTTCAAATACTTGACTACTGTCACAGTGAAGAAGTGTTTCCCATGTTCTGTCTGCTGCCTCTCATTCTGTCCCTGTGCACCTTTCAGAAGCGTCTGGCTCCATCTTCATTCAGCTCCATCTTCACTGTACCCTCCCATTAGATAGTTATACACAGCAGTAAAATGGTGGAAGGGGGAAATTTTAAAGATGTTGAAACCTTGAAGAGCCTCTTTCTGACTTGCAGCAGGGGGGTTGGAACTAAATGATCTTAACGTCCTTTCCAACCCTAACTGTTCTACACTCCTATGGTTAAATAACCTTGTGAATATGGCAGGCAGAGAAAACTGGGCATTTAATGGCCAGTGTTAAACATCTAGCTTGTCTCTGACTTGGCTAGAGTATCTTTCAGTGCAGGGCTGCTCTTCTAGCAGCTTCTATCACTCTGCACAGTGGTTGATTTGCATTGTACACCTCTCTCAATCTGCTACTCTCTAAGGAGATCTCTCTGATTTAGCTTTGTGAATTCTCTCCTCCTGGCCTTTTCCTGCTGCCCATACACACAATTTGGAAGCTAAGATTTGCTTAACTTCTGAAAAAAAATCAATTTGAAATATGTAGGTGCTGACTTACTGAAGATGTCCAAAGAAGATTTTGTTCAAATCTGTGGGCCTGCTGATGGAATTCGGCTCTTTAATGCAATCAAAGGAAGGTTTGTACTTCTTCCTTCCTTTTTTTTTTTTTTTTTTGTTATGGCAGCATCCTCTGGTAATTTCAGTCTTAACTAGAAGTTAATCCTGGAGCTGTAGCATTTAGACTTCCTTTTAATACTTCAGAGAGGTCATCTGAGAGGATGGAGATCACAATGGTATTCAAACCCAAGCACAGCTCAGACATGTTGCTGAAATGAAGCAGCATAATGTGGATCTCCAGTGCTGGATCTGATATGCTACCACCTCATAGCTTCCCTCCACTTTATATGAAACACAGCCTACAATACGCTGTGTTGCATCTCCATCACAGGTAACAATCAATGAACAAACCAACCTCTGGAGTCTCAAATGACTCCTAAACTTACTTTTATTGCAATAACATCTTAAATTTTACAGCTGGGCAGGATTCAAATCAGTAAAGGCAGGTATGATGAGCTGCTTGGCAAGTGTTGTAAACTTTTTATTCTTATTTGATCCTGATGAGATTTAGGCGCTCTGCTCTGTCCCACCACCTCCCAGTGGGCTCTGGCTAGGCCCCCTAAGACATGTAGTCCCCAGCATTCAGACTACCTCTTAGCTGGTTATTTATGCACAGATTGAATGATTCCATTTCTCATTGCTTAATAGCTGACTGGAACAATTTTAGATCTACTAAATAACTTACTGCTGTTTTTTTAATAACCCATAGAAATGTAAGGCCAAAAATGACAATTTATGTCTGTCAAGAACCAGAGCAAAACAGGTCCCATCTCCACCAAAAACGAGAAAATGGAGATAGCAGTCTTTGTGGTAAGTTTTTATGTATAGACTTTGTTAAAACACTTAACCTGGTGAGAATGTTGCTTTCTACCTGAGCTTCTGTGTGGGACAGCTTGCTGTTTAAAGAGGTCCTGTTTATCTCAGCTCTGCCACTCCAGTTAGTTTCAGGGCTACAGATTCCAACTGGTACCATCTTGTCTCAGGAACAGACCAAATTTATAAGCTATCTGCAGAATGCTCTAGCAAAATCTCTGAGTTCTTAATAGGGACCATAGCATTAAAAACTAACCCCCCATCCACAATTTGCTAAAGATTATGGCTTGTTTGAAAATATTCTGGGAAATGTAAGGTCTTAAAGTGAGGCTCTAATTCTTGAAAGTTCAAAGCTTTTGGAGACTCACTGACCTTAACTGTCCCTCATGATGCGGTGTATGATCAAATGAGAACAGAGATTGTCCTTAGTTCTTACACATAGTATAAACTAGGCACAGCTTTTCTACTTCGTTGTTTCTACCATTTGTGTTGGATTTAAAACTTAATGCTGTCATCTACAGTTATTTGATACATTGTAGTCTTTAGTTTGTGCCTATGGGATCAGTGGGATAGCATCTAATGAAATACTACTTTTTTATAACATAATATCATTTGTTTTACTATTTAATTGGATCTACTTTAAAATGTCAAAACCAATAAAAGTAGATTATAAAAAAAATTAACATTTTTGTGAGAGGGTTTATTTGGTGCCCCATGATACATGTTGTCATTAGTGCCTGTGTTTTCCTCTGGGCAAAAGTAACGTGCTTTATTTTTCCATGGCATCCAAATACTGGGTATTTTTTTACAAATCATCAAGCTTGATATTTGGGGGCTGCTTTAAAGGTAATAAACTTATGTATCTACTGTCAGGATTTGAACCTTGATCTTAAACCCATTTGGTTGTTGATATGGAGCATCTTGGTGTTATCTGTAGTTGCTATTCTGTAATTATAACTCTGTAATTACTTTCAACTTGTTGCAGTATATCATGCAATCTTCTTGGAAGAACTGACCACGCTGGAATTAATAGAGAAGATTGCAAACTTGTACAGCATTTCTCCACAGCAGATAAATCGAATCTATCGGCAGGGACCCACAGGGATCCATGTATTAGTGAGCAATGAGGTAAGGGGTTAATGTAAACTGTCAGAACTGTAACAGTTGTCTGACTTCTTGAAGTTAGAATGGCCTTTTAAATTAGGGAATGAATCTTCAAGGAAGCTTAGCAGTTACTAATCCTGACAAGTTAAGGCAAATACTTAAATCATTCATGCATATCATTGATTTTGGTGTGTTTTTAAGATCATTGCTTTGTAAAAGAGTGTTTGCATTTTTTGTTGTGGTTGGGTTTTTTTGCTTGTTGTTTTGGCTTTTTTTTAACAAAACAGAACAAAATAATTCATTTCCTCTTCATGTTGACTACTGAAACAAATTTGGAGCAAGAATCTAAACCAAGAACCTTTAAAATTAAATAGGATATTTAATTTCAATTTAATTTTCTTCTTCCCTCAAAAAGGCAGGTTTGAAAATCTGTAGGGCAGTTAGTCTTCCGTCTTGGCCAGTGATTACAGCCACTGGGTCAGAGTCAGTGCTATGTAAGTGCACACTATAGTTTAATGGACCTCTGCTAGCTGTTTGTGTCCCATTACATGATGGCTTAATTTAGTCCAATCCATTAACTTGCAGGTTAATAGTGAGTTGCCCTTCTTCCTTTTTCCTCCCTACTAAATTACTTACTCATTCATGCACCAGAATCACTTAAGAAGCTTCATGTATAAGAAACATTGTTAAAACAAATGAAGCAGAGCGCAGGTCTCAACTGGAGCCTAAATCGAAGGCTGTAATGCTTATTCCTAAAGTCTCCTTGCTGTTTCAGCCTGATTAAATCTGAAACCCTGATGCTTTATGGATGTAAAGTGCTTGGAGGCAACTCTTGGTAGGGGAATTGCCTGAACCAGTCTGGGTATAAGGCTTTAAGTATTTAAGTCAATTATTAACAATGTATATTGCTTTTTTAATATTTTTTCTTGTTCTAGTACTATAGTGCAAAAAATGAGGCACTCTATGAATGTACTTCATGCATCATTAGGCACAGACTGGCCAGTGAAGTTCGATTTGCAAGAGCAGGGGGTGAATGTTAAACCCAAAGAGAATAGAGAGGTTAGTCTAAGTTGAAAAGGATATTTGGTGTGAGAACTTACACTGGAAAGTGCTTTACTTGAATGGTATTCAATAGTTAGAAAAAGGCTTTTGCTTAAAGCTGGATTTTCTGAGCTTATCAGAGAGGTTCTGGTCACCTCCCCTCCAAAGTTAGGTGTCCAACATCTGCTTCAACTGTCTGAAACACCCCTGAAGGTAATTTATGTCCTGTTCCACACAACTACTCTAAGGTGAGAGAGTGTATTGACTAAAGATGAAGCTTCAATGAGCATTTCAGTTTGGATCTGAAGTTAGCTGAATCTTTTAACTTACCTTTTTAGTTAGGGGCCTCACTAGAACCTGCACGTGTTCTGAAAATCTAGTTTTATCATGACTAACTCAAATCACTTTAGATACTTATCTTGCTTCCCATGATCTGCCTTGACTCTCCTAGCAGTTTCATTAAGATTCCTGTGCCTCAACAAAATACAAACAGGTAAATGATTCCTGCAAGCACATTTTGACTAATATCTAGTAAAAATATCCAGGTGGATGCTGCTGAGATGGCTTTTCAGTAGCAATTTGCCTTTATTCAACAAGGAGTCCATTTCTCAGTGTTGACCACCTCTGAGTAGTATTTCAGATGCTAATGTAAGCTCAGCTGAGCTTCATTGTTCAGCTATATGTGTATTTTAGGAGATGGACTGTCTTCATCCAGCCTAAACTAGTATAGCTTCACTGAAGGCAATTAAGAGCATGGTCCTAAATAGACTAACCTAGTGGTATAAGAGCTTAAAGGGTCAAGAGCTGCAAAGAGGGTGGTAAAATGCTGAACAAGCTAGATCAGTTCCAGGCAAGCACTTTAATATGTGCTTCTCTTAAACACATTAGCAGCTGCAAGGATCTTAATCAGTCATGTACTTTAGTAATCTTACAGGCAGGGTTACTCAGGACTCTCTAGGACTGGACACCAAATGTTGTTTGATACCTCTCCTCTAAAGTCTATACTGGCACTGAAGGAAACTTGAATGTAATTGCTCTTATGTTGGCTTTTTTTGCTTCTGCCCTTCAGATGGTGCAAAACTTCCAAGATGAATCTTGTTTTGTTATCAGCACATTAAAAGGTATGTGTTGCTGTTGCTATTACATGTGGCTCTAAAGATAATTTCTCCTTTCGATTGCACTAAATGTTATTACAAAATTGGTGCTGTTACCTTGAAAAGATAAGTAGTCTAATTTAGTGTAAGGAAAGGTGTTGCATCAGTTTACACTATGATATACTGATGAATCTATGTTTTCTTCAGTTACACTTATAAAACTTTCATAAATCCATTGATAACACTGACATAAAAGGGCAGAAAGCCCTCAAGTAAAATCGTAAAAGGTGACTGTTAGTATGCTGTATTTTTTAATGTAAATGCTTTGACCTAGATGTTCAATATTGATTTTCATGAGTGGGTTGTAGAACAAGGTCACAAACTATTGCAAACTACCTAAGAAGAAATCTGGAGCTCTGTGCTGTTTTCAGAAAGCAATGAAAAAATGCTTTGCATTTCTTTGTTACAGCTGAAAGCAATGATGGCTACCACATCATTTTAAAATGACCGTGCTGCACAGAAAGACTTTAACAGCCTAAAATTTAGTGCCTCACTGAGATTTCTACAACCTAGACTGGAAACATGAAGAACCTTCTGGATAAAATGCTCCTGTGAACTAAGAATTACCAAACAGCCTAAGGAAAAACCTACTATTACAGATACACATTTCTGGTGGTGTGTGGTTTACTTTTTTGTTTGGTGGGGTTTTTTTTTAATTTTTTTTTTTAATAAGCTGGAGCTGAAAACATCCTCAAAACTTGTACATGTTTCTTCCTCCTTCCCTTCCTCTTCAGTCTTAAAAATTGTTGAGGTTTCTGCTTATTACTTAGAAACATCTGCCTTGTACTAAAGGGAAATGAAAGATAAACAAAACCCAATTTCTAGACCCCTCGTGGTTGGGTGAATTGATTTATTTTCTCTTCTGAGCGCTCTCTTGCCTTCAACACACACCCTGTTGCTGATTGACACAGGCTCCCTGGGGCTTCTCTTTTACTCTTTGAGGTGGAAGGTCTGGGGCTACATCCAAAGCCAGATTGAGCAATGCAGAGGATGGATTTGGTGTCCAGTCCTTACCCAGAATGTCAACCCTGAGAGCCCGCTCTTAGCTATTCTTCACCTGTGGATGTGATCAAAGTTCAGAGACCTTGGTCCCCCCGACAGTTTCTGTTACACTCATCCAGCAGAACAATTCTGCAGGGTTCAAGGGATGGCAGCCAACCTGTGGCAAGTTGTTCAGTACCATATGATATCTTTAGCTTTAGAATAGTCTCTCTCAATGGAGTATATGAAGGTTTTCTGAGGAAATGTTTTGAATGTTGGAAGTTATAGAGTTCATGGCCCGTTCATACTATGGATTTATCCTACTCTAAAAAGTGCTGATTAATTGCTATCTTTACTGTAACTGGGAAATAGGTTTTATAATCTTAATGATTTTTTTTTTCCTTCTGCTACTCACTAAAGTAAGTAAAACTGAGTTTTGACTGAGTCCAGGTAGCAGATTATCTTAGTTGCTGCTTCTTGTATTTCTGCTGTTTCACTCTTGACTCCCATTTCCAATATCTGCAACTATGGTCAACTCCACCCTTCCTTGGACGTTTGGGATTCCATCCAAGCTCCACTAAGCTGAAAAAGCGGCTTCCACTGATGTCAGAGGCAAACTGGATCACACCCTTCTTGCATAGATGGAGTCATTTTACTTTTGGTAGCTAATTAATAAGGCTGTTTCCCAAACTGTGTGTCCATATAGCATTGAATTTTTGATACTTGAACGTTTAATTTTATCCTGAATTGAGACGGAAAGCTGAAATACCAAGAAGTTTCCTGGAACAGAAATTTTTCAAAAAATGAGAAATTGTCAGCTGGAAAATGCCTTTTGAAATGGAAACATTTAATTAAAACCATTTGGCCCTTAAAGCAGCATCAGTTAGAGCTACTGTTGCAGACCTCAGAAATTACCATTCAAGTGCCTTGTGCGTTGTGTTTCCCTTGGGGTCCAGCTCTTTGGCTGGGTTACAGATCCCATGATGCTCTTACCAAGGGTTAGTAAAAGGGGGAATGCGTCATGAAGGCTGGAGGGGTGCCCAGGAGCCCAGCCTTCTGGGAAAGAAGGGGACATGAAGCTCATGAATTACAGCTCCCAGCTGACACTGGAGGAATTCGGACAAACACGGACTGATATTTTTCTGACAGAAATGATGTGTTTCAAGCTTTCCCAACAGAAATAAACAGCAAAATATTGAGAAAAGCAACCTTTTTTTTCATTAAAAGCACCGAGTTTTGCGCAAAAAAAAACCCCACCCATCCCCACTGATTTTTTTTTTATTATTATTTTTACACCAAAAATAATACTGGAATAGAAAAATCATGTTACAATGGGAAAACCTTTGGCCAACTCAGCTAATTGAATAACAGGGCCTACTTAGGCACGATCTTGCTTGGCTGTTCTGGATGCTCCTTGAATTGTAGTGTTTCTCCAAAAAAGATGCCTAGGCTTTGGGCCATGGCAGTTCCCTCCCCCTGAAGTGAAGAAGCTTGGGCTTCTTGGTTGAGGACCAGGTTGCATAGGGGAGGAGGTTGTGGTAAGTGGTCTCCTGACAGAGAAAGCAGATCAGCCAGTGAGGCTGGGGAGAGCTTTGAGGGAAGAAATGCCTTTGTGGAGGATGGGAAATGCCATCTTTTTGAGAGGAAGGTGATGCCACGTCAATGTCAACCCTTTCTAGGTCCCTGTGTCACCTCTGTAGCTTTGCAGCCTGCTCTTTACTGCCATGCGTGTGGAGGGGTGAGCTCCTGGGCCTGGGCACTGAAGCATCCAAGTTGTGGCAACACAGTTCCAGGTGTCTTCCAAAACAGGGAATAAATTCCAGCTGGTTTTGTGAGTAGTTGGGACCAACATGCCCCTGTGTACCAGGAGCTTTTGATTTATTTTGTGGAAAATGCTTTGGAATACGTATGTTGGCTGTGCTTTTTCAATTCCTGTTTTGTAGTGCTGGTCTAATACATGGCATGGCTGTTGTTGGAAGCAACTGAGGGAGGTAAATCTAACCTGATAAGAAAGGCTTAAAAAAAGACCTTGGAGTTGCCAAGAGTGTAGCCTGTACTGCATGCACTTATATGTGCTAGCCCTGTAATTTAGGGAATGCAGCAATACCGACACATAGCAGTGTGAAGAAGGAGTAGAGGTAGCCTTGCTCCCAGAGGTAGGGACGAAGAACTATTTGCCTATTAAAAAAAAAATAATTTGTTCTTGATTATTTAAAAAAATCTTGCCCGGAAGGAATTATATGCATAAGTCCCCACAGTGTTACAGTCGCACTTGCTTGATTAATTTTGAACAAAAAAACCTCTCCAATATGGCCTTTTTATAGTTAGATTTTTTAAGATAAAATAATTTTATACTGATATAAGTGTGAATTTGACAATATATATTGTTCTCTCTATGCTGTAAGAAGGTGTAACAGAGTAAACGATCCCATAGATTATAAATATTGTCCTATGTGGGCTCTACTGTTTTATCTGTATTAGCTCATTTGTAAAGCTGTATAACTTTAATGTGTGTGTAAGACCTGTGCTTACTTGACAGAGTAGCTCTAGTCCTTTTTGAACTTCTGTAGTCCCAGCAGAAATTTAGATGATAGTGGTCAAGTAAGATACGTGTCCATGAAGACACAGCACAGCTAGTTTGGTGTCTAGGAGAATGTTGATTTATTTCAACTTAGAATCATGGCACATCTTGAGTCAGAAAGGACCCATAAGGATCATTGCATCCAACTCCATGCTCCTTGCAGGACTACCTAAAACTAAACAATATGACTAAGAGCGTTGTACAGATGCTCCTTGAATTTTGATAGGCTGACCACTTCCCTGGGGAGCCTGCTCCAGTGATCAACCACCATCTTGGTGAAGAACCTTTTCCTAATGTCCAATCTGAATTTGTCCTGACGCAGCTTCTTTCCATTCCCTCAAGTCCTATCACTGGTCACCAGAGAGAGGAGATCAGCACCTTCCCCTCTGGTTCCCCCACTGAGGAAAGTGTAGGCTGAGATTCATCTCTAGGAGTTAGGGGAACATGTTTCACCCTTTGCCCTTGTTGCATGTTGCTGCCTAACCAGTGGGCAAATTGGCCATGAGCCATCATGACTGAGCCGTTAGAGCAAGTGGTCAGAGCAACACTGGTGTAAAATTGGACTGCCAATAAACCTTCCACTCTGGCTCCCAAAAACATAAAAGCAAACCCTTGCCCTCTTGGAGTTGGTGAGTTTGTCCGTGCAGGATCCAAGCAAAACCGTCAGATTTTATTTTAGTGGCTTATGTGAGGAGTGAGAGAGAGACTTGTCTCACCTGTGTAAGTGCAGGTAATCTTTGACTTTCTCCATGGTTACAGAGAGTCTGCCATCCCTGGAGAGACTCATTTGCCCTATTTGAGGATGTGACAGCCTCCAGAAGGCATCTTTTCTCTCCTTGAGACTGGAGGAAGCACAAATTATTAGTCTGTGCTAGATGTATAAATTCTAGATAAGATAAAGATAAGGGAGATAAATATCTCCCCCTCATCTAAATGTCCAAAAGGGTTTTGCATTTACTTTGCTCTTAAGTGCCTGTTACATTTATTCTTGCTTTTCTTGTTGTTGTTGCTCCTATTTCTTTTTTTTTTTTGAAAGTAACACTTGCTCAAAGTGATTTAAATAAGACTTTTTTTCTGCTCCATGTGTGAATTTCATACAACAGACCTGTATAAAGTTGGGGTTTAGGATTACAATGATTAGCATGGTGTCTCAAACTGTCCAGCTCTGAGGCTGTCTGTATGATGACAGCCACTGTGCGTAGAAGTGGGCTTGTTAGGGATTAAAAGGAAGAACCATTAACATGATTAAAACCAGTTCTGACTTCAGCCAGTACCACAGAGTATAAACCTGAGTTTTTATCAGATCTATACTGGCTGGTTGAAATAATTTCATAAATTATAGAATCACATACTCACAGAGTGGTTTCGATTGGAAGGGGCCTTAAAGCTCATCTTGTTCCAACTCCCCTTCCATGGGCAGGGACACCTCTCACTAGACCAAGTTGCTCAAGGCTGCATCCAGCCTGTCCTTGAACACTTCCAGGGATGGGGCATCCATGACTTTTCTGGGCAGCCTGTTCCAGTGTGTCTCAACCCTCACAGTGAAGAATTTTTTCCGAATGTCTAATCTAAATTTTCCCCTCTGTCATCTTAAAGCCATTCCCCCTTGTTCTGTCACTACGTGTCCTTGTAAAACGCTCCTCTCCAGCTTTCTTGTAGGCCCCCTTTAGGTATTGGAATACTGCTGTAAGGTCTTTTCTGAGACTTCTTTTCTCCAGGCTGAACAACCATACCTGTGGCATTTCCTCTGACAACTGAGTAAACTGGTGTAAGTCAGTATGACTCTGGTGATGGTCTGAGAACTCATAGAAACACCCATGATACACAACTACAGGCCAGGGAAGGGGCAAATAATCTGCCTGAGGTGGCAGGACTGGTGTTACTAAAACAAAAGCTGCTGTTCTTTCAGATGGCCCTGCTTGGTAGATTGGCTAAAACTGAAATACTAATTCAATCTGGAAAGTATGGGAGTTCTCATTGTTTTGGTGTGAAATTTAAAGGGCTGAAGTTTCAAGACTTGGAGGTGGTAAAAGGATTTTTGCAGTTGAGAAGTCCTGAATGGGACTCTCCTTATAATGTAACATATACATATTTATGCATATATATATATACACACATACATACTGTACTGTATCAACACATATATCTGCTGAGTACTTGTGGTCTTCAGCTTTAACTGGTACTCTGCTTTGTTTAATTGCAGTTCAATGTAAAAGACTCTGGTTGATCAAGCTTTGAAATCCAGCGATTCCTTGGGTACATACCTAAAAGTCCATAATGACTTTAGGTGATTTGGACATGGTACACTTGAAGTGATGCAAATTTGATGAGTTTCTGCAATATAAATCCCAGCCCTTGGTGAATACAGGCATATTCCTGCACTAACACTGCAGTTCTATATTGCAGCTTCTGAAAATTAGTTAAAGAAATAGATTGCCCAACGCTTTGTAAACTAGTAAGAGCTACTCCCTAAGCAGAACAACCATATGATGACTTTCCTAGCTCAATGTTGTATTGCTTAAGCATTGGCTGTAATTCTAACAATCATCTGGTGGATGACTGGGGCAGGTGTTCTTTTGTCTGTGACTGGTTTTGGTTTCGACTGTTTTCAAAGAAATGCTTATATTTAGGCTGTAGCTTCTCTTTCTCCTCCAGTCATGAAGTGGTTTAATTTTATGCTTCTAATAGAAATATTTTCCTGAGATTATAACCTGTTTGACAGCACAGGGTACTCAAAATGGGGAGTGTTTGACCTTCATCATCACTACTGTGGGTGAATATAAGAAGTCAGATTGGAAGTGTGTCTTAAAGTCCTTGTCTCTCTTTAACAAATGGGTTAAGCTGGTGCCTATTTTTTTGTGCTTTTCTGATTTGTACCTTTTGTTTTGTTTTGGGTTTTTTGGTGTTTTTTTTTGCCACTTCCTCAAATTCTTCTGTTCCCGGGGGGGAGGGGGGGGGGGGGATGCATTGATGGGCAGCTGGTGTGTCCAACTCTTTTAAGTAGCCTGCTGTTGTCCCCAGTTTGCTTGGGGTGAATGTTTATCTTTCAAAGGGCTAGGGGAGTTACATCTCTTCACTGACAATGCAGCCATTAGAGACAGGTGATGCTGACCACGAAGTTGGCATGATGGGCGAGGGCAAGCGGAGGTGGTTTGGTTGGAGGTTGAGGCGTACCAGTTGTGAGTAAATACTGCCACACTCTTTGTCATTTCGTTTGTTGGGTTTGGGGTTTTTTTTTTGTACATGAATAAAGAAAAAAGCATATTTTGCACTGGCTCTTGTACTGTTGTGCAGAAGAAATCTGTATCTAGAATCTGTGCTCCAGTCAAAATGCAAATAAACCTGTTTGTAAGAAGCATGGGTTTCGTCTCTGCTTTGCTTGGCATGGATGGGTGCAGAAGAGCCTTGACATTGGCTGATGCTGTAAGGTGCTGGGCACCCTCCTACAATCAGTAGGAGTTTGTAAAGTGCTAGCGGGGGAACATCTGCTGTAGCCAGATGTCCTGCAGCTTTTTCTTTGTGTTGGGACTGACTTCATTTCTCTGCAGCACAATGCAGTGACCAGTTCATATTTAATCCAGTTCAAGGCATGAGGAGAAATGCCTAATTCTTGCAGAAGCCATGACAATGGGCATACGCTTCAGGGAGAGCACAAACTCTGTCAAATGATAGCTGGCTTTGGTCTTGCAGTGATCAGAGGACACAGGAATTTCAGAGGCTGGTCCTCTGTGACATCAGAGATGAGCAAAAAAGTCCGTTCTGGTAGCAATGCTCTGTCCCATTTAGCAGCTGTTAGACACACACTGCAGAAGAGGCAGTGAGGTTTGTACATGAAGCATTCACAATGGTTTGGCTGGAAGAACTTCAGTATCCTCTAAGGTTTAAGCCATAGATCTAATAACACACATGTTCAGGAGATTGATAGATGTTTGGTGTCATTTTCCAGTTGGAGGAAATGGGGCCCAGTTTGCAAATAGTATTTTCCAGCAGCCAAACTTCCCATTAAGGCAAAGGAGTGAGAATGCATGTACTACCATGTAAAGGTGCTGCTTAATTTAATTTAAATTGACCTCAGGAGCAATTTCAGCTACTTTCTTTTGCTGAAGAAGTGTTTGAATCACAAAACGAAAATGCAGCATGTGTTTCTGTATTTATCAGTTCGTATACAAAGTATTAGGGCACAGATATCTAGAGGGAGGTGGATGAGAACTGATTATTTTTCCCTGCTGGTGACTCAGTCATCCCTAATTTCTGTTAGCTTAAATTTTCTCTGGAAGTAGAAGTCCAGCTATCTGAAGCCTGGTATTCTTGAAGTGTTCAGCTGCTCTGTGCATGATTAGGCAGTATCATGTCTCACAGAGCTGTTGAGATTTAATACAGGATCTTTAGCTTCAGAATAGGTTCAAATCCACTTGCAGGCAGCAGCCAGGGGAGCTGGGCATGTCATGCCATGATGATAGGATGTTAGCTGGCACTCAAGAGCCTAAGGCTGGCATTGGCAGTCCTCAAGACTTGATGGAGTGTGTGAGGCCACCATGGCTGTATGGCTCTATGATGGCTGCCAGTTGCAGGGGCCATCCCTGGGGCTTTCAGGATGTGAGAACCTGGACATTGAGCTTGTCTCAAACACCGTTTATGTTCCATAGTGTGAATCAGAGACAGGAAACTGGGCATGTCTCAGGCACCATTTGCATTTGACCATGGGAGGCCTTGAGCATAAACGAAGAAAATAACTATGTAGATAGGTTTGTTTTGACCCTTTTGTTTGAAGCTGATAAGCCTCCACAGGAATGTGAAAGGATGAGTCACGGATGAGTTGACTCAGGACGGAGCCCAAAAGCAGACACCAGGGTGTAAGGGACAACGACCACCTGGAGGTCTGTCCACCTAGAGGGCCCTTGGGGAACCCCAGCTTTGGAACTGTGCATGTGCTCACTCAACTATGCCCATCATTGTCATAGTCACACCTCTCTACACCTTGTATGTGAATTATGGATGACACCCCAAAAGAACATGGACATAAAAGCTCAGGTCAGAAGGAGAGCTCCCACCACCAGTGAGACCCTGGGTGAAGAAGATCAGTGAGATGTCACTGCATTCACAGGTGGTGGTACTTCTCTCTCTCTCTTTCTCTTTTTCTCTCCTCTCTTTTTTATTGAATATTGACTTGATCTAAGTAAAAGTGTGTGGGATGGAACTTACTGATCCAGTTAAAGTAATCATTACTGAGTTATATCTAACCATATGCCTTGTATTAATAAATCATAAAACTGGTTGGTTTGTGTTGTTTCACCTTAATTGAGTACAAGGGTATCATGAACTTGGTCTTTGGTCCCACGGGAAGGGAGGTTATTGTAAATGACTCCTTTCAGGTCACAAGACAGGAGGATGGAGGCGTATCCCTCCCTAAGCCCCCAGGGTGTGGGGTGCCAAGTAAGCATGGGTGTTTCCTACCAAGCTCCATGCAAAATGATTGCTCTTCTGCAAGCCTGATCCATGTGCCATCAGGGGTTGGTAAATGCAAAAAAGAAATACCAATGAGGTTTTTACCTAAACCTGCTTAATAAAGGGGGTTCAAAGACAAGGAAAGGGGTAATGCACAATAATTTCTATGGGAAACAGAGCAATGGAGAAGCTTATAAGGAAAAGAGCCCCTAAGGAGCATACCCAGAAGTCAGCGGCAGGTGTAGTTAAGACTGGGCAGGAGCTGAAAAGAGGTTTTCATGAGTGAGGAGGGCCAAGACTTAAGACTGGAGCTGCTTAGCCAAAGTGTTGGCCTAATCTCATCCAAATCCTCAACAGCAAGCAAATATTTTAAAATTAATTTTCTAATTTACAAAACAATGCTGTCTTTCAGTTAAAAGGATTAGTTACAGCTATGGAGCAGGCAGGGAAATAATATCCCTCATATTCTTTCTGCAAAGAAGCTAAATGCTTCCAGGCTTACCTTGGTAGGAAGGATTTGATGCTGCAATAATTTATTTACTTTTTAATATATTACAGCAGAGGCTGGTTGTCCTGATCGGACTTTGGGAATTAAGATCTCCATGATATCGCCTGTGTAGTTTAACCTGTGGTAGTAAAATCAGGAAAAAACTGAGTAAAAAAATGAACGCATGACTTTATGTGGGAAGAAGAATGTGGCTGAGGGTGCGTGGCTGGAGCAGCCCAGGAAAGGAAAGCTCAGAACAAAAGCATGGGGGCCATTTAGGTTAAGCCAAGTGCGTGCTTCGGCACAGCTGTCCTGAGGACAAAGAACATTGTCCCAGGCAAAATTATTCCAGAAACGCCCACAGTTTCCCTTTTCCTACAGATTTACCTCATTTCATGCAGCGCCTATGAGACCACAACTTCTGTTTCTTGATCATCCATAGTTATTTACTGTCACATGCGTGGCCTGAAAGAAATGAAGTCCAAGTGAGAACACTGAGATAGATTTGATGATCATTAAAGTAATTAGTGGGGAAAAAAAGCGGAGAGGCATTTGACTTTGCTTTTCCAAAAGCTTTGGCTCCCTTCTGGCTCTGCCAGTCCCTGCTGATGGCTTTGCAGCATCCCTACCATGTCTGCAGAAGGTGAGTGCCTACTCCCAAGCACATACACATGCAGTCATGTTGCTGCTTTAAATGCATGTCCACGTCTATGGTGGTGCCTCCCCCCACTCCTCTCCTGGACCCCTCTGCTTCCCCAGGAATTCCCGTTAGGCCCCAGCCTTTGCACAGGGGCAAGGAGTTGGATGGCTGGGCACTCCCTGGTTGCCTACCAAAGGTAAGGAGTGGCACACAGAGATGAGAAAGGTTGGGTACTCCCTGATTGTACCAGGAGCTCTTTTAGAATGATCAGTCATTCCTTGACAAACTGGAACATAACTGTTGTGCAACTGGTGAAACCAAAATACAATGAAGGCCAAGATGAAAATTCACCGATGACTAAAGCCAGTCATCTTATGACCCTATAAACAGTGGTCCCAGGAGAGATCCTTTGAGCTCTCCTGGACAGCAGCAGGCTGTGACCAGGATCTCAGAGCCCATAAACAATCAGGTTTACGAAATAGGGGGATCGTATACCTGGGCTGTTGTTACTTCTGGTCACTGACACTCTATTGAGGAGTCCTGAGAAAGCTGATGTTGAGTGTTGTATTACACTTTAACTTTTCACTGTACCCAAGGGAAATTTTTAACATAAGTATATGTATACATATACGTATATGTGGTTTTTTATATATTCCTTAGTGTGTTGTGTTAGTTTAGATATTTAATTGTAAGTGGGTGTATATTAGTTTAATAATCAAGTATTATTATTTGCTTTAAAAATGCAAACTGCTGCTATCTGACATTTAAATAATGATAAATAATCCTTTTGATAAATACCATTGACCAGGTGTGAGACTAGGACTAGATCCAGCCGCAGCTAGGCTCTATGAGGAGTTTAGAAAGCAGGGAGGGTTTAGTCTGAACCTCATGACTCAATGGGTGCGTGTCCCTTATTCCTTTGTATTTTCAGTTTCCATACACATTATTTCAGTCCAATTCTGTCTAAATCACTTTCAAATCTTGTATAAATCATTGCCAATTCTGACACAATCTCTTGGTATGTAATGTAGTGGACCTTGTCATTGAATTCTGTTGAATCACACATTTATAAATTTATATTAAAATTAATTTTGCTATATCTCTGATTCCCTTACCAGCCCTAACCACTCAGTTTCGTGACAGTTGCTCAGAAATGCAACCTAGTGACAGCCTGCTCAGGAGGACACCTCTCTCCATAGTCATTTAAACAAAGTGGGTCCACAAATTTTGTAATGAAGTCTGGGAGAAAGGTTTTCTGCTATCAACGTTCACCACTTGACTTGGATGCCTGGATAAAGGAAGCCTGAGCTCCCAGTTAAGCTCTTCTTAACAGTTTCTGGAGGACACCGTGTGTCTCCACGAATGATACTGTGTGTTTGTGATACTTGGTTTAAGTGATGGCTGAAACTGGGTGGTGGGGTTGTCCATTGAAGTCTCATCTTTGGGCACCTTTTTAAGGAATAGTGGCTCTTTGTATTTAAAGTAGGTTACTTGTGGTTGGGTTTCTGGTTTGTCATCAGAAAATTTATTTCACTGCTATGTAGTTCAGATTAGAATCAGAAAAGATGTTAATTGTTTGCATCCTGCTTTTTTTACTCATATCTTCCCCCAAGTAACTAATGACTGCATGTAGTATTCCAGGGTTGTCTGGGGAGGGGATTAAGCCAGCTGCTGGTGTAAGGATGTCCTCAATCATGTGAAGTCATGACAGAGCAGCTGTTCTGCTTCACTGTGGTAGCCACTGTGTCCCAAAATAATCAGGGTGTTTTCTATCAACACCACT